AGAAGAGGAGTGGTGGCAGGAACAACGCACCCCCTCATTATTTTATCCAGCAATTAAGCCTAGTTTCTGACACACCAGTTTTGATTCACTGATTTCTGATTTCACCACCTTCTTGTTCACCAAGCTTGATTTTAACACAATCCTTGAGTTATATCATTTGACCTTTTTGTTCAGACTAATTCAGTTTCTCTCTCTACCTTTCCCACCAGCATTTGTTGTAATAGGCTATTGTGACATCTTATGAATTTACCAAACCTATGAGTTCAACTCTGCAAAATGAGTGTAAATTTCTAGGCCCAATTATCACAACACTTGCCAATATCCATCTTTCTCACCTGAAATAGTGGATATGTTTTTACCAGCTTCAGGGGGTAGCCGAGTTAGTCTGTACAGGATAAACTTTAAAAAGAACAAATGGTCTGGTAGAACTTTATAAACTAACAAAACATGTAGATGGTATCATGAGCTTTCGTGGGCACAGTCCACTTCTTCAGATGACCGAAGTTTTAAAACTCCTAGCATCTTATTTAAGAGGCAAACATTAACCTCATCCCCAGTATCATTCAGGTCCATTCCTTACATTCAGTGTATGCATACACTACTGCAGGGTTGCCGATGTTAGGGAGGGAGGAAGGGGGCCGCAAACCTGGGGCCCCATGATTTGAAAGGGCCCAGGGCTCTCAGCCGCCACCATTGAAACCTTGGAGCCCTCAACAAGACTTGCTCTGCAGTTCTGGTGGCATTGAAGGAACGGCTGTAGGAAGCTAACTGTCGCTTCTGCCTGAGGCCATGCCCCTTCCAGGAGACCCAAGGCTGGACCATCTTTTCCCCAGGCCTGGTAAGACTCTCATCAGCCTTGAAGTGCTGAGTGTGTTATATGACTTCTATTACCCCATACTGATATTGTGTTGACAAGGGACTTCTGATGTTCTAGTTCAGCCAGAGATATGTGGCTTTGTCTTTTGAGTATGTTGTATCTCTGCACCTAGTGATTTAATTGTCTATAGTTGTGATGTTACTGGTAAATCTGGGCAGACTTTGAGTGGGTATCTTACCGCTCAGCATGTGCATAATTTCTTTGTATGAGCTGTTGGTGAGTCTGCTTTGTTCTGATTCTCATGTGATTGGGTTGTGGCCTGTACTTTTGTGTAAAAGCCTGTATAGACCTGTCAGAATGTGGCTTGAGAGTGTCTCCAAATGCCTATTGCTTTTTACAAGCCAAAAATCAGTCTCTTTCAACAACCTTTCCTTTAGTTCTTTATCAATGACACTGAACACAGCATTGCCTCGGAGAATGTCATTTTTAATATTTCCAAACTCACAATGACTTATTTTTTGTCTCAGCTCTGTGACCAATTCATCTAACATCTCTCCCCCTAAGTGTAGGTGAGAGAAGAACAGGTATTGTTTGAGTATCACATTAATCTTAGGGTTACCAATAGTTCCTAAGCATTCTTAAGACCTCTCCCCAAATGGGAACATTTTCAGTTGGCAGCTGAAGAATGTGTTATACACTTCCTGAGCCACCTCTCCCACTATGTGCAATAAAATGACTGCTTTTTATGCCCTCTTCTTTTTTATATGCTCCTGAGGCTGTCGCACAGATGTAGAGGAGTTGTTCCCCTCTTCTCCGATTTTCAGCAAGATCATCAAGGATAGAGGAAGGGGAGGGGAACTTGCAACACTCTGGGTTTTTTTTTTAATTATTCTTTTCTCTTTTACTGGTTTATTGTTGGTGTTGTTTCATATGTGTGTGTACTGACAATGTTCTGGGTCTTTTTGTTTGATTCCCTGTGGTATCCAGCTTGCAGCATCTTCCTCTATGTAGCAATTTGCACACAAATCCATTGCATTCCTGACAAAAGCAGCCATTTCTTGTTTCATGAGCAATGCAGTCACTTTTGACATCATGTCATGTTTTTTAGCACAGTCAGGCAGCCATGAGTATATGGTAGCTTCTTTAGTTCAAGAGACAGAGTGAGACCAGGAGTATAAAGTTTAGATCACAACTCTATTTGTTACATGACAAGATGGCTAATACGGATTCGCTGAGCATAGACTCTGTGTGTTTGCCTTGTGACTATGACCTACCTCAGTGGGAGGTCTATGGTGATTGCCTGTGATTAACTGTTTTTGTTCAGCCATACTTATTGCTTGTTTTGAGGGTTTTTTTAATCAGCAAACGTCTGTGCAATCATTTTTCTGGTATGCATGTTTGGTGACAGCCAAAACCAAAACTTCATAAATATTTGTGGAAACCATTTTTAAAATGTGCAAGTAAAAGCATCTGTGTAGACAGAGAGATGCTCATCCAAAATTAGATGACAGATAGAAAGCCTTCTGACTTACCTGACCAATCAGAACTAACCAACCTAACTCAATAGCTATGAAGATTGGCTATTCTCAGACATCTATTCATGATCAAGTTATACTTCTACTAAAGAATGAACCAGAAATTGATTGCTATCTGCCTAAGAATATTTTGCAACTGGAAAACCCTTTGTAAAAATCAGGTAGCAGTCAAAAAATGGTACTCTACCTCAAGAGTTATCTTGTTTGTTAAATGATCATAATTAAAATAAACAATTATGCCTGTTTAACCAGCTGGTTTTTTTCCTTAACACATTTGACTCCCTGTGAAGTCAATAGAATTACGGAAATGAACTAAGAGAGAGAAGACAATTTACAGATTTCAGAGGGCATTTAAACAGGGATTGTAGGGCATTCCAATTAGTCATGGATACTAAATACTCATCAATTTAAAAACCCACTGGTGTGACCCTCCTCACAATACCATGGAAAGTCAACTTTGAGTGAGTTTTAAACAGATTTTTGGGAGAGAATGAGTTTGTTGATATACAAAATCTGGGACAATCACTTGACCAAGCGTGTGTATGTCAGCTCATTGGAAGTCATTCCAATATTAGCCTCTGCTTGAACTGCACCTTTCAGGAAAAAAAAGCTGCACTTTATATTTCTAGATTTAGCAAATCTCACACAAGTAAGAACATATTGCACCATCAAAACGTCAAGTACAAACCAGCATGTGCTTTGTTCTCTCTAGAGACCGGCTTTATAATCACTAACAATAGAGACAGTGTTTAATCACTGTGTGATACAACCAATTCTCACATGGGCTGTGTTTCCTAGATGCTGTCTGAACAATTCTGAATCATGATTAGAGATGTTTGAATAGTGGAAAAAATATTCCAGAACATTTTTCAGACAAATCTGTATCTTTTTTTTTATTTGGCCATATGCAATCCCTATTGTTTCCTTATCTGCAAACACTCATGACAAATTGTTTTTCATTCAAATAAATGTTTCAGGAATGACTGAACTTCATGTAAATACCATTATTTGAATGCAAACTATGGTGTTCACATGTGAATAAAGGTACTTGCTATTTGTACTGAAAAATCTCCATAAAACTTAGTGGCTGAAAAAGAGTCAGTACAGTATACATATACTTTTTCTTTTGATATTCTTCTGTATGCTACATTCCACTCACATAGTAAATACTCTTACAGGGCATTACGATATAAGCCATTTTTGCACAGTTCAAGTCACAAAGCTTTTGTAGTAGAAGTTCACGATCATAAATTCTCAAAAAGGATGGCAGCATGGTAAATTTGTTATGCTGCTAAGATAGTTTATGAAGAGAGTAAAGATAAAAGAACAAGCCATTTACTTTTAAAAATAATTTTGAGTGACTTCTGCACTCATAAAACTATTCCATTCCAAGCTAAAACCCTGTCTGATTGTTTTCATCCCAGAAAGAGTTGTTACAGTTCAGCATTGATAAATCCCTCTCAAATAGGGTTCATAATAAAACACTAATAGGCCTTCAATTATGTCGATACTGTCAGGGACTTCTATAATTACAGATTAAATTCTAGGTTTGTGTATATATGAATAAAATATGGGCAGAACTCTTTGATGGCAATGGGAAATCCATATACATAGGGAAGGACTAAATCAAAACCTACCATATGGATTAGAAAGGATACATTTCCCATTTTACCTCATACCCATACCACACAGTTTTCTTCTCCAGTGCAGAGAGACACTGTCCGATATAGTGGCCAGTATTTGTTTTGCATTCTACATTCTGTTGGGTGTTGTAAAAGAGGAATAATTGGAATTGGAAAAGGTCCGGAAAAGGGCAACAAAAATGATTAAGGGTTTGGAATGGGCCCCATATGAAGAGCGATTAAGATGACTTGGACATTTCAGCTTAGAAAAGAGACGACTAAGGGGGGATATGACAGAGCTCTATAAAATCATGGCTGCTATGGAAAAAGCGAATAAGGAAAAGTTATTTACTTATTCCCACAGTATAAGAACCAGAGGTCACCAAATGAAATTAATAGGCAGCAGGTTAAAAACAAACAAAAAGGAAGTTTTTCTTCACAGAGCGCACAGTCAACCTGTGGAACTCCTTGCCAGAGGAGGCTGTGCAGGCTAGAACTATAACAGAGTTTAAAAAAGAGCTAGCGAGATTCATGGAGGTTAGGTCCATCAATGGCTATTAGCCAGGATGCATAGGAATGGTGTCCCTAGCTTCTGTTTCTCTGGAGGTGGAAGACAGGGGAGGGATCACGTGAGGATTACCTGTTGTGATCCCTCCCTCTGGGGCATCTGGTATTGGCCACTGTTGGCAGACAGGGTACTGGGCTAGATGGGCCTTTGGTCTGACCCAGCATGGCTGTTCTTATGTTCTTAATAGCACTGTGCTTTTCTTAATATTATTTCCATGAAGTATGTGAGATCTCAGAATTTTCCTCTATATTCTTCACAGGAGATAACTATAGGTTCTCAGATACCAAGGTCAAATAACTGGTAACTGCTGACTTTTTAAATGGTGTTCTCTTTAAATTAAATACTTTTTCTGGTCACTATTATGAATCACATTAGTATAGCACCACAAATTCACCAGTGTAAAATGAGAAACCCCTTCATTTCAGATTGTGTTTTACTGCATTTGTTTAATCACATACCTGCATCCATGCATTCCAGGGTGAAAGAAATGTCATCAAGAGCAATTTCTGTGAGCTCAATTCCTCCCACTTCAGCTTCAAATGCGATTCTGAAAGGACTGTTGCTGGAGAGAACCACATTTGCATATGTCCACCTACTTCCCTTATTTCCACTTGAAGACCACATCAGAATATCCATTCCATGTTCTTCAACAGTGTAAACCTATTGACAGTGAAACCCAGGCAATATGATTTAATCAGCATGAAACAGCAGGGGAGTACAGCTAGTTAGGTCAACTCAAGAAAGTCTGAGGACTCAGCAGACAGCCTATATAATACGAGAGCCCCTCTGCTGTGGTCCGTTACCTAGTTGGTAATGAATAAATGTTGTGAAGTGGTCATAGTGGTCTCAGTCTGGTTTCTAGGAGACAAGAGTTCATATAAAAAAATGCTGCTGGAAGTTACTAATTGGGAAACAGCATAGAAGCTGATCCCAAATCCATTTATGTCAAAGGAAATACACAGCACAGAGATTGAACTGACCTCTCTTGCCTCAGGCTGGTTCCTCTCTGTCTGAACTGAGGTATGACAGCATGTGAAGCTTTTAGCTATATAAACAGAGGACTTCAGCACCCAATGGTTTCAATCTGGCATCAGTTAAGAACACTTTAAAAGAATGTGCACTCACTGATGGAACGGCAAATTGGCTCAGATAAATTTAGTGATAAAATGTCAGTGTAAAATAAAACTAAATATGAAAATAAACTACATAGAATTAATTTGCAGCAAAAGAGAACTATTGAACCAACGCAACGCAAATACAACAGAAGGCCCTGTAAATCTTCATATACTGTGATTTTTTAAAAAGTAATTTTACTCCATAAGGTGACCAGCAGGAGACACTAAAGCGTTATACTTTTGGCATCACAGATTGCCAGAAATCATATGGGTACCCTTGGACATGGTATTCCACCACTCTGGAGCTATTTTCCCAGCCTAGGAGCCATCTCTGATATGGCAATGGATTATAAAGAACAGCAAAAGAATGAGAGTCAAGAAAATTCCAGGCTTAAATCCAGGTTGATTAATTACATAACCTTCAATAAGTCTCTTGATCTTCATTGTCCCCCAACCAATTCAGCTGGATAATTGATTTAAAAAACAACCAGGACCTTAAGCTAGATGCGTTATTTGAGCTTTACAGCATAAGAATATTGAGACAAAATGTTATCAAGTGAAACAGTCAGTTTCTGCTACCAGCAGCTCACTGCAGATGTCTACCTTTCAGCATCTTTAGACCAGTGAAAGACTGGGGAATGGAAGTAAAAATTCCATGTCAGTGTCAGAACCAGTGGTAAATTCCATCTGCTTGGAGGCCTACTTATGGGGGGGAAAATGACACCTTATGCAGCTGTTCTTCTGAAGCATCACCTGAAAGTAAGATACTGTCTGTCCTCTGAAAAAGTGCATTGTGGAAGATCTTAGAGCTTTCCTCTGAAGATAAGTTAAGGAAACAAATAATAACCAATAGGTAAAAAATGATGTGGTGGCATTCCCTGAGGAACAGACTTCATATTCATAGATTCAGCAATTGTTTCAGTAGATGGGATTGCCATTTTCACATGCCATGTCAATACTACCTTTCATTTCTAGCAATGAACTGATTTGACTGGAACAAAAGAGACACCAAACATTTTAACCTGAAGTTCAGGTGTGTATTATGTATTATATAATGCAGTGGTCCGCAACGCAGTGCCCACAGGCACCATGGTGCCCGCCGGGCAACTTGTGTGTGCCTGCCGAGTGATCGGGGCCAGCCCCGCCCCTGGGCACGTGATGCACGGGTGGTGCCAGCCCCTGGGTGCGCAGCGAATGGGTGGCCCCGTCCCCGGGTGCATGACACAAGGGCTGTGCCGGCCCCGGGCGCGTGGCGTATGGGCGGTGCCGGCCCCTGGGCGCACGGCACAGGTGTGGCGCTGGCCCTGGATATGCGGCACAGGGGTGGCGCCAGCTCCGAGCGCGCAGCACATGAGTGACCCCACCCCCGGGCGCGCAGTGCATGGGCTGTGCCGGCCCCGGGCTTGTGGCGTATGGACATCCCCGCCCCTGGGCACGCAGCACAGGAGAGGCGCTGGCCCCAGGCGCGCAGCTCGTGGGTGATGCCAGCTCCTGGGCATGAGGTACAGAAGCGGCGCCGGCCCTGGGAGTGTAGCGCATGGGTGGCACCGGCACTGGGCACGGAGTGTATGGGTATCCCTGCCACCGGGCACGTGCGTGACCCTGCTCCCAGTTGCGTGTGCGGCCCCGCCCCCGGGTACCCAGTGCATGAGTGGCCCCGCCCACAGGCGCCCGGCAGCCCCAAAAGGTTGGGGACCACTGATATAATGTATATGTAAGCAGGGGCTGAACTACTGCTTGCAATCAACCAGCAGCCCTCAGGGTGGGTATGCTAACTCAAAGGCTGCGTCTAGATTGGCATGATTTTCCGGAAATGCTTTTAATGGAAAAGTTTTCTGTTAAAAGCATTTTTGGAACAGAGTGTCTAGAGTGGCACGGACGCTTTTCTGCAAACACACTTTTTGCGGAAAAGCGTCCGTGCCAATCTAGACGCGCTTTTCCACAAAAAAGCCCTGATCGCCATTTTCGCTTTTTTGCAGAAAACAAATCTGAGCTGTCACCAGTGGCCCTTTTGCACTAAAGCTTTGTGCAAAAGGGACTTTTGCCCGAACGGGAGCAGCATAGTATTTCCGCAAGAAGCACTGATTTCTTACAGTAGGAAGTCAGTGCTTTTGCGGAAATTCAACTGGCCAGTGTAGACAGCTGGCAAGTTTTTCCAGAAAAGCGGCTGATTTTCCGGAAAAACTGGCCAGTCTAGACACAGCCAAATTGTTTAGCCTTGCAAGATAAGTAACTGTTGATATGTAAATACAGCTCATGCTGGCATGGGGAAGGAATCCGGGGTGTGATTATGTAAATCCAATTCAGCCATAGCTGATGGAGAATCGGTTATTAGAATGGAATGTGCTGTATTGTAACTAATTTGGGCTGCTGTGTGGTCACAAATCATGCTACCCCTAAATGTGGGAACTGTAAAATATGACACCAGTGCTTGAAGGAGAGACACCATCATTGTAAGAGGTTTCAGATGAACAAGCCGCCCCCTTCCAGAGTTGAGTGAACTGAGTTGGGAGGGAAGAGGTTTGAGCCAGCCTTCTTCATGCCTGCCAGGTGTGAGCTGTAAGACTGGTTTAACCTGCCTCTTTCACCCATCAGGAGTCTTTTTGCTAGTCCAATGGAAGCTGGAATCTTTTGTCAATCTAGGTGGGGGCTAAAGCGTTGAAATCACTAAGAGCTGGAGTCACTGGTTTGGCCTGGAGCCAGACCCATTGCAGCCAGCTAGATTGCTGGTGGGAGTGGTGGCAG